AAGAGGAGAACCTCCTCTATCAGTGGACTTGGGGAGTGGCATGCATGCAGAAAGGGGAGGAAGGGTGGGATCAGGAGGGGAGGAGGGAGGGGCTTATGGGGGGATACAAAATGAATAAAGTGTAATTAATAAAAAATTTACAAAAAAGAAAAAAAGTCACAAATACTTACCAGCAAAGTATTCAAAACCTAATTTTTGAATACCTAGAACCTAATTTTTGAATACCTAGAAATATTTCAACAGTTCTCTCCATAGATGTTAAAAAATAATGCTATAGCTAACTGCAGCAATATATTACTAGTTTAGAATTTAAGACTCCAGAGTTTAATGGCGTTTATTATTTCACAATCATTCCACATATGAATCAAATTGGAATACTCAACGGATTTTCTGAAAAAGTAAATATGGTTTCCAAATCTGAAAGCACCATATAACAAATGAATTTCAAAGAATATAGTTCATAATGTACAAAATATATAACCAGAATTGGGAATTTTTCATAAGGTCATGTAAGAATCAATTTAGGATTATACAATATAATTCTGTAATCTTATGGCCTATTGAATAGATGTAACTGAGTCACATGTTCAAAGTGCTGGTGTTGAAGATGTGTCATTGTTTCCAGCCATGTTGTATTCATTTTGTCCTTTTTTGATTAAAAATAAATAAATAAATTCAATGTAAAAAAAAATTTCAAGTACATAAGATTGTTCAATAAATATTGGTTATCATCATCATCATTTTGCAACTTATATACGCTTTTATACGCTTTTGCTTCTTTAAATCATTACAGTATCCTAGAAGGTAACTGCCATCATTTTTTAAATTATCTGTGTTTTATGGGTACTGTTCAGAAAAGCTGCCAGATGTCCTTCTGATTACCCCACTTCCATTCTCTCTGTAGAGCAGACTGCCTTTGTGATGGTTTTGAGAAGCGGATAAGGGATGAGTCTGTGAATTTTCTTTCCGATAAGCAGATAGGTCTAAGCAAAATCCAGAGAAACCGTCTTCATCAACAAAGTTGTGAACACTTGTAAGTGCAAATGTCCAGTGTCTGGAAGAACACACCAGGTGTTACTGACCTTGCAGTCCAGTTCTGTGACCTTGGGTTTTGTTGCAATGGTTTCCAGGTTCCTCACATTTTGAAAATGTAACACCGGTGATGCTAACCTGTTGAGAGTACAGAAAAAGCAACCTGTCACACGCCCCGGAATTTTCCAGAGCAATTCGCTGCGGAGTGTGTGGGCAGATCTGCATTTGTCTTTCCTCTAGCCTGACACCCAGACACCTACACAGAAGGATGGGCCACGCTGCTTGATAACAGTCGTTGTTTTCTGGCTCCGTAGCTTCACTAACTTCTGCAAAAAGGCATCCCTGCCGAGCTGAACAGCCACCCGGTATAAAAATACGTTTGCAGAAATATAGCTTCCAGGAGGAAGCTAGCACTGTCTGGCTTCTTATCCATGAAGCACATGTTTCTTTACTGCTCTCGCTGCTATCAGGAAGAAGCAGCTGACTGTTGTACATACCATTCTCCAACTGTGTGGCCAAAACAGGCAAGAAAAGAGCCAGAGAGTGGAGAGTATACATTGAATTTGTTTTGGGACCTATTGACTGGTGTGTTGTCCATACTTCTGATGTTTATGTCTCCTTCCTAATGTATCTGAAGAGGGATGCTGGCAATGGCTCCCATTGCTAATCATCTGTTGAGACCTTAGGGTTGTCTGTGTGTTTGGTCTCCTCTCCTACACTCATTTTGTGCTGTCTTGAATATGAGCTGTTAGTGTCTAGGTCTGTGCCTCCTGCCACACTGTGGACTCCAGGGAATCTAGAGATCGGATCTGGTTTGTTGGTATCCTTCAGTGTTTCTCAAAGAGAATCATGTGACCAACAGCACTGACATCCCCGGGAAGTCCTCCAGGTGCAGAACAGAGCAGACTCAGTGTCTGCTCCTTCTTTAACTCACTGAACAGACTGTGTGTTTCGTGGAGACCCTGCCCCTGCCACCATCCAGGAGGTATGCGTGTGTAACAAGTGCCAGTGTGCTCCTTTCTGTATGGAGTAGTTAAACGGTAACAGAGACAATAAGGCACAAAAACGAATGCGAGGTAGGTAATTACCACTCAGAAAACACTGCTCTGCAGCTTCTTCCTGCCTGAGCCTCCACACTCCATCTTGGAATCTTAGAAGCTGTGGAGACTTTATATTTCTAGAGACATATGAGGTTGAGCATTTCAGTGTCTACTTGCTCAACTCAGAAAATTGAGATAAGTGAAAACTGGTGAGGAGGAAGGAGGTCACCACACGTTAATCCCAGGTCCTTCATGGTTATCATGCTAAGCTTCATCGATAACAAGGCACAAAGCCAAGTTCTCACACCTCACCTTCTCCATCTCATCTAGTTTGTTCATTTCAATACCATCACCTTAGCCATGGAGATTGGTAGAGAAACACTCAGCAGGAGTGTACACACACACACACACACACACACACACACACACAACCTATCCTATCTGAAATGTAAATTATGAAATTAAAACACACTTTGCTACACTCATGCATTGAGATATTACAAAGGAACAATTAGTAACTATTAATGTGATACATGGATAGTAAACTTACTGGTATTTATTTTGTTTTATTTTTTATTGTTTGAGAATTTTGTACATGTATATAATATGCTTTAAGTAACCATTCTCTCGTTCATCCCCTTTCAATTCCTTCCCTCTATTCCCACCGCTTTCCTCAACTGACTTTGTGCCCTTAAGAGTCCCCTTAGCTGTACCTTTTTGTTCACGCATGTAGGCCATCTACTAGAACATGGATAACATTTGGGTGCCAAATCCTTGATGAAAAATTACCTCTCCCCACAGAAGTCATTGGTTAATTAAATCACACTTTATGTATGTATGTATGTATGTATGTATGTATGTATGTATGTATGTATATATGTATGTATGTGTGTGTGTATGTGTGTGTGTGTGCATACACATACATACACACGGCATCAGGTATCATATTCTATGATGTGCAAGTGGAGGCTGGAAAATAATCTGAGCAAGTCATCTTTCTTCTTCCAGTATGTGGGGCCCAGAGATAAATCTCTGGTCATCAGACTTGAGACAATTCTCATTTTTATTTATATTAAGAAAACCTTTTCTATTGGTTCTTTGTGCATTTCACATCATGTAACCTAATTCCACTCATTTCCTCCTCCCCTCATACCCATCCCAGCCTTTGTGGGTCCCATCAACAGAGAAAAAAAAAATCTCATATTAGAAGCTGTAGTGTGTCACAGTGTGTCCCACAGTAGACCCTTTAGTCCACACTTCTTTGCTTGCAAATGTTCATTGCAATAACTCATTGGTCTGGTACAAGGCCCTTGGCTTCTGCTATTCTATCAATGCTGGAACCTTACTGGGTCTCTTCTCAGATATCCCGTTGTTGCCCTGTATCATGGAGATCCTGTGGTTTTGGATCAGTAGGACTGCCCCCTTCATTCACTCCAGCGTTTTCTTGATGAGGTAGATGTTGGAGTGGGTTAATTCAAAGCCCTGGGTCTGGGCCTGAGGGGTATTTGAATTGGTCAGACCACTGGTTCTCCCAATCTCATGCCTTGGGGGCTGGCTCATCTGCAACTCTATATTCAGGACTAGCTCTACTGTGCTGCCCAGGCACGGTGCAGAGCCTGCTCTCCTAAGTGCTGCTAAGGGCGAGGGTGAGGGTCAGCTGTCCTGCTCTCATGATGCCTGAAAGGGACAGCTCTCCCACTTGCTGGGAGTGGTGAGGCCAAAAGGGAGGGGAGGGATCTCTCCCATGCCTGTACCACCACACAGTAGGCAAGAGGCAGGGCTGGCTCACCAGTAAGCCCCATTCCAGGCGCCAGCTCTACTGTACTGCCCAGGAGAGGGGCAGGGCCTGCTCTCTAGAGTGCTGTAGCTGGTGAGGGGCAGGGAGTTCTCCTGCTTTCACAACCACAACTGCCAGGTTTCTCGTTTTCTACAGGTTGTGAAGGGTGAGAGAGGAGGGGGGTATCTCTTCCTCATCCATGCCACCTAATGGGAAATTAGTGGTAGGACTAGATCTTCCTTACTTGTATCCTTGGGGCCAGTTAACTCACCACTCTGGCCATGTGTGGCCCATTCTCCTAAGTACTTTAGCTGGCTAGGGACAAGAGATGGGGTCAGCTGTCCTGCTCTCATGTCTTTAGAGCCAGTTTTCCTACAGTGCCCAGATGAGGGGTGGGGTCATTCTGCACCTCCCTCAGATATCAGCATGTCTCTGGGTGACAGTCCAGACGAGGACTATCAGTCAGGTCTTTGGTGGTAAAAGACCCCACTGTTGCAGGGTCATGGACCAAGACGTGGCTCCCAGTGGCAACATAAGCCAGGACCTGACCATAGTCCCAGGTGGCATTAGTGGCTACTCACATCAGGCTGCTCCTCACCACCCTCGAGTCTCCAGTTCTGCCTCTCTTCATTGTGCCCGCATCCTTCCATTTCTCTTCCTCTTCCATTTCTCCACCACTTACTTGCCCTTCTTAGCGTTGCCCAGGGTCTCTGAATGCCTGGGATCATCTCAGGAATGGTCTCAGAAGTGCTATGCCCTGTTTGCGTATTGTGGCGTTGGGCATATTTGGTCCTCTTGGGCATGGTCTACCCACTAAGGCTTGCACGGTGCCAGACTGGTGGTCATCTTAGACCAGCTCCCTGTCTGGGCCCCATGGCATAAGTCTGGTGGTTGTCTCAGGCTTGCGTCACACTTGGCCCTTCTGAGTGGCCCTGTGTGAATGTTCTCTGTCTCAGGCTCTCTCCCTTCCAGGGCTTGAGGTCCCAGGCAGGGTTCTTCTAGCTCTGGTTTGCTCTCCATCCTAGGAACCCACAAGGCCTGCTTTCTTCATCCTAGGAGCCCGTCTTAGCCTGGGTGGAGCCATACTGGATGCCTCAGGCTAGCTCCATGTTTGGCCCTTGGCACTATACTGCTGGTTGTCCTAGGTCTCATTTTTCAGGCTACTTATCACTCAGATGCTCACAGGTCAGAACACTGAGCATAGACATAGCTTCTCTCCTCTCTGCCACCCACTGACCCACATGTGACACAGCTGCTGCACCTGCAAGCCCTCTAGGGACAGAAATTTTGAAGTTTAGTTGAAGGATAAGACTGACTTTCAGAGTAGGAGTTTGTGAAAGGCCCTTCCTCTTCTTGGGACAGCAGGCTGTCGTTAGCTGGAGTTCACTCTGCTGCAACTATGATTATCTTCTCGTTCAAGAAGTCCTTTCAGTCAGGGTAGTTTCGTTCAATATTTATGGACTGCATGCTCTTAGGTAACCCATATGGTAGGCATGCCATTAATTGGTCAAGAGAACCCATTCTCAGGTAAGAAAAACAAACAGGCAGTGCTTAACATCTAAATTGAAAATAAAATATAAAACTCCATTGAAGATTCAAACACAGTTTTCAGTGGTGTTTGGAAAATCACATTACAAATAAGTGAATACAAGCTTATTGCTAAGTTCAAGAGTTATAGCATGGCAATAAAGCTGGTGTGGCTCTGCTGACGTACAAGAACAGATCAATAGGCTGGATGAACCAAATAGTGGGCCGAGGTTGGAGTCATATGTACATGAACTAGCAGTAAATTTACTTACTGTGGAGTAAAGAGAATCTGGGTTCCTGGTCTATTCCCATTATTATGCATTTTATAAAATTTTGTGAGAGAAAGCTGTATTTGATGCAGACAGCTAAGACCATTAGCTCCGATGACTCCGATTCCACAAGCTGTGGCCACTAATCTTCTGGCATTGGAGCGACCATGAACAAATTCAGAGTACAACTGAGAGAAAGTTGAGCTGCCGATGTGCCATTTTCATGAGATATAGAAAAAAAAATCAAAAGAGTTTAAAAGGTATAATTTAGAGACCAAAAAATTCCGAAAGGTAACTAGTCATATGTCAGAACACTCAAACAACTGATAATTAGAGGCTCAAAGAGAAATGTGACTTCCCTGTTATAATTGTCACTCTAAGCTATCTGGATAATGGTGATTTGGGAGCAGTATGGGTGAATAGGGGCTCTCAGGCCCTGGTGGGGATGTATTCATTTTGGATATGGTAATATTTATTAAAATTAAGTGGATTTCTTCCATCTATCGCAAGAAAAATGTTCTTGATCACACAGTCCACTGACGTTCTCACATCTGAAAATATTAATTGCACTATTGTTTCTGGTAATGAGGAACTGAGGCAAACTGCCTATCCATCATTAGGACAGACATGGATTAAATGGAAAAGTACTCAATTTCAAAGCAGTGCTATGAACACACACAGAACAGTGTGTGTGTGCGTGTGTGTGTGACAAAACACTGAAAGGAACCAGTGAGAAACAGAATATATATATATATATATATAAATGCAAACTAAATGTAAATAAATGTATGTATTTTCTGACAAGCAACTTGCATATGGCTGCAAGAACCCGAGAACATTCTGAAAGAATTTATAAACCGGTCTTCACTGTGGGTCTACAGTCTTTGCTTGAAGCAGTTTTGACTCTTAGCCAGACACTTTTTTTTTTTTTTTATCAAGAGTTGATAAGGCTAGGCCTAGTTTTTGTGTGTTTTCATATATAGAATTCATCAATAGATGAAGAAGAAACAATCCTCACCGGGAAAGGATTTTTTATGTCATAGCATGTATAACTGGTAATAATTTCCCCAGTTCTTTCTTAGTGAAATCTACCATTGTTGAACTAGGTGACTGGAGAATTGAGGAATGAAAACATTCCATCTTTTAAGGATCAATTTAGATGTTACTTGTGGGAACTGCTAAATACAGGGTCTGTGATGCTGTTGAAACTTAGAAAACTGAACGGCTATCATGGCCTCATTTAGAGCGGGAGTTGTTTTCATAGATTAATGAAAAGAGGGCCATTAAATGGGCAGGACAAGGGCTAGAGACACAGGGGTAGCCTCATGCTAATGAGTTTTGAATGACGGAGGATCTTCATGTTCAGTGCTAATAGTCACCAGAAGGCATTACCTGCAAAAGAGCACTGCTTCACCAAAGGGACAGATCATTTGGCAAGTTGAGGTTAGCTGGCCTCTGTCTTTAAACCTTGGGCCTGAACAATGGAAACTTGAAACAAACAGCTATAGAGGCAGGGACAGGGCTTTAAGCATGAGTATGACTGTACAGACTATTTTTCTTGTTGGATGCTCAAACTGTCACAAGTGTTGAGCCTCTAAGTCTGGATTAATTTTAGGCAGCTCTCTTAGGGTTTCTATTGTTATAACAAAACACCATGTCCAAAAAGCAAGTTGGGGAGGAAAGGGTTCATTTGGCTTACACTTCTATATTGCTGTTCCTCATTGAAGAAAGTGGACAAGAACTCAAACAGGGTAGGAACCTGGAAGCAGGAGCTGATGCAGAGGCCATGGAGGGGTGTGGCTTACATGATTGCTTCCTTTGGCTTATTCAACCTGCTTCTTATAGAACCCAAGACCACCAGCCTGGGATTGTCACCACTCACAGTAGGCTGGATCCTCTCTCATCAATCACCAATTAAGATGATGCCTTACAGATGGTGGGATCTAGAAAAGATCATACTGAGTGAGGTATCACAGGAGCAGAAAGACACACATTGTATATACTCACTTATAAATGGATATTAGACATGTAATATAGGATAAACCCACACAAATCTTTACACCAAAAGAAACCAAGCAAGAAGGAGGACCCTGGGTAAGGATCCTCACTCAGAAAGACAAAAAGGATGGACATTGGAAGAAGGAGAAAACAGGAAACAGGATAGGAGCCTACCACAGAGAGCCTTTGAAAGACTCTACTCAGCAGTATATCAAAGCAGATGCTTAGACTCATAACCAAACTTTGGGCAGAGTGCAGAGAATATTAGGAAAGAAGTAGAAGATAGTAAGACCTGGAGAGGACAGGAGCTCCACAAGGAGATCGCCAGTACCAAAATATCTGGGCACAGGGGTTTTTCTGAGACTGGTACTCCAACCAAGAATCTTTCATGGATATTACCTATAACCCTTGCTCAGATGTAGCCCATGGCAGTTCAGTGTCAAAGTGGGTTCCCTAGTAATGGGCACATGGCTGGCTCTTTGACCACCTCCCCCTGAGGGGGGAGCAGCCTTGCCAGGCCACAGAGGAGGACAATGCAGCCAGTCCTGATGAGACCTGATAAGCTAGGGTCAGATGAAAGGGAAGGAAGACCTCCCCTTGGAGAGGGGCATGGGAAGAGATGAGGAAGGAAGGGTGAGATTGGGAGGGAATATAGGAGGGGGCTACAGCTGGGATACAAAGTGAATAAACTGTAATATAAAAAAATAAATTTAAAAAAGATGATGCCTTACAGGCAGATGTTATGGAGGCATTTTCTCAGCTGAGGTTCTCTACTTTCAGATAACTCTACTTCATCAATAAGTTGACTTAAGACCAGACAGCACAGTGGTCAACCAGACAAATGGTGCCGGGCTGATTACATGAAGTCCTTCCACTCTAGGGAGGGCGATGTCACAACCGGATGGAATTGGAGTGTGTTCTGGGTGTGTATACTCTTGCGTTGCTTGCCCACCATACCTCAGCCAGCACCAGTGTTAGCACTCAGCTATCGCTGTTTCAAGCCACTAGTTTCAGAACACGTTGGTATGAAGTAACAGAGAAGAGGAAACTTATACTTTTGTCTGTAGACTCGCTCTGCTCCCACAAGGAAGGTTGCACAACACATGACCAGATGGTATGTAGACCCCGGGGAGACTATTAATGGAAGTTTAGCTGATTAGTCAATTACGTTTGTGTGCTGTTTGTATATTTGTACATGTGCGCATAGGCGCATGAACCTGGGCACACATGCTCTGAGAGGCCAGAGGAAGAAGATCAGGTGTCCTGCTCTATTGTTCTTTAGCCATTATCACATACGTACACATATAAATACGTTTACATATAAATGTAGCCTGTTGAGTCTGTTCGCTTTTGCCTGCATATATATGTTTCTAAGATCAGCTCCATAATTTTTATTTGTAGACATCTTAGTGACATATCCAATAGGGATAAAATGGATCATAATGACACATGTGAGTCTTTATCCCACAGATGTGAATTAACACATTTCTTAATGTTGGTTCATGTATTTGAAGTCACGGCTGCAGTGTGTTTGGTTTTTGTGTTTGTTTTGCTTCTTTGAGGGGAGAGGGCATGATGTAGTCTAGAATAACTGAGCTTATGCTAAGATTGAGAGGACTAAGCTTTAGTTTTGGAGGGTTTTGGCTTGAAGTTTCTCCTCTTCCTCCTCCTTCATTTCCTTTTCCTTGTCTTCATCCTTGTATTTCTCCTCCTCTTCACCATCATTCTCCTTAGCCACCTCCTCCATCTTCCTTCTCCCTGTCTCCATCTCCTCCTTTTTAAATATGGTTGCTTCCTTTTTATATAAGTATTTGTTAGTGGATAAATAATAAATCTGTCTCCAGTGCTCCAAGAAGGCTCATGTGTAAAGAGCAGAAGTCACGAAGGCACTTGATTTTTATTACTAAGTAAAGAAGCATGAATGTCAAGTCATCTCCACCAAGTTAGTCTATGCTCTGCCCTCAGTGTTAAGTGTTCCTTTATCCTCAGGTTTTAGCTTTGTGCTGACCTGGGAGAATGAGGTTCTTCCACTAATAGGCCAATGAACAAAACTGAGGGTAGTAAACATTGCCAGATGATCTGGTAAGATAATATCTTAGTTTTCTATTTAAGTATAAATTTATAAGCTAATGTTGTGTGAAGAAATGACACCTGTAGGTTTTGAATTACCCCATTTGCCTGAACTAAGAAAACATGCAGGGGCTAGAGAGATGGCTCAGTGGTTAAGAGCACTGGCTGTTCTTGTAGAGGACCCATGTTCAATCCCCAGAACCCACATGGCAGCTCACAACTGTCTGTAACTCCAGTTCACGGATCTGACACCCTCACACCAATGCATATGAAATAAAATTAATAAATAATTTTTAAAAAGAAAATATGTGCAAAGAGTTGGGGATTTAAGAGTTTAGCGTGTTCTGAGATCCTTAAAAACCACAGTAAACCAACCATGCCATTGAATTGTACTAGGTCTGGGGAAGATAATAGGCCTC